AGAAATTTGAACTTCCTTATCTAGAGCAGAGCCAGTGAACTATTTGTATGAAGAGAATTTTTCGTTTTATATCTATTTTCTCTGATAATCGTACCAAATTAGCATGAATTTAAAGGTCAAAGGTCATATACACCAAATTGTCTGCTGTTGTTAAATATATAACTATAGAATCAGTACCTGATGCTGAACTTATAAAGGGTTTGTCCCAATTAGCTTTTGACCTTTTGACCTTTCCTTCAAGTTCTGTTGGGAAATAAAAAAAACCTTGGCTGGCTTAAAAGTCAACAAATAAAATTATCTGAGATAGTTAAAATATCTAACAGTTTTAGATGTTGAAGATATTTCAGGATTTTTCTCTGTTTGTTCTTTACCTCTAACTATCAAGCATTCCAAATATTTCTTATTCTAAGTAAAGCGATAGAACCTGTAACCATGCAGTGGAATTTGTTTTGTTTTGCATGTCTATAGCTTTGATACACATTTCTGGACAGAAAACCATACCGTGCACAATTTAAAGAAAATAAAATAGATAAGATTGTGGCATATTTTAATTGTACATAAGATTACGGTCGCCTTCTATCTTCGAGCTAGAGGGAATTTCCCTTTAGCCCAGTGGTAGAGCATTTGACTAGGAAGTATGGAATCGGTAACTTTCCTGTTACATAATAAACAAAATGTAGTCCACAATAGCGTTCCCAACGTAAAAATTCAGGACAGGGTTCAAAGTCTTGACTTCATTTTGTCATCTGGTCACTCTCACTGACTGGCCCAACTCGGCTACAGTAGGAGACACAGTAGTCTAGTGGTAGGATATACAGGGCTCGTGTCACGTCATCGCTAGCGCTGTGTTCTATCTTTGAGCAAGATACTTTATTCCGCTTGTTCCAGTCTACTCAGCTGTAAATGAGAGTACGTGGTTGGGCAGTGCTAGAATTGTTGAGTGCTAGCTGTGAGCACCGAAATAACAGCTCTGGCTGTATGCTCCCCAGGGAGTTGAGAAAGATATTGGCTGGTTGCAACGGCCCCAATAACCACGGATAATAATTTGTGAACCGCTTTGAGACGATCTACGAACTAGATTGTGATAAAGCAGTATAGAAAAACCTTGAATTATTCTTATAACAGTTATTTCCAAAACAAAGTTAAGGGGAGGTTACTGTGCATATGAAAAACTACTGTGGAGTTCTCTAGTGTTTTACCTGCAGTGGGACAGGGATCCTTAAGAAAGTTCTCTTGTTTAATAATCCTTTCTCCTTTCAAACCACTCATCAATTATTTTGAAATTTCGACAGTGAGCCTATTAAATTAAATATAATATTTTAACTTTATGAAGTTTGTCATGAACATTTTTTATACTTTTTTAAGAAAAATATATTTTTTGAAGATATGTTTCAATTTTTCAGAAGTATATCTTTGTCTTTTATTTCATTAACATGTTACAAAAAAAAAAATTTGAATTGAATAAGTGGCAGTTTTTTCCAGAATTTGCTCTGACATAAACATTATTATCTGACCCCCCTCGGGGTAGAGGGGTTTGGCCCAATATGGGGTAACATAGCAAATTCTTCAAAATTCTTCTTTTCCTGAAGGAATGACAGGATTTTGTCCAATTGTATATGGAAATATAACCCCTGGCTAACCATGTAATACATGTACACTACCAGCAACATCTAGCTATTCCAACTTCAATTTTACTAACATTTCCAGGTGAGCTATACAGGCCCTCTGGGCCTCTTGTTCCAGAATTTGCTATGACATAAACATTTTTTATACACTTGTTTATACCGTTCAGAGGCCGGATATAATTAGGTGTTCCAACTCTAAATTAAACACTGTCAGATGGTCTAGACCTCTCGACCGATATAATACTCTCAAAAATATCCCAGTAGCCAAGGTTTTGAAACATTCTATGTTGAGTTTGTATTTACTGTTGACACAACATTGAAGATACATGGACTCAAATGTACTAAATCTACCAGCATTAACGCGCCAACACAAAAATCTACCATTCTCTCCGACTAACAGATACATTCGCTATGCTGTCTGAGAGGAAACGACAAATTAGTATGGACGATCTTATTAGCTTCGTGAATTTTTTTTCCAAATTTTCATGCAGCATTTTTTGAAATTTTTTAAAACTGATGACCAAAAAATTATTTCCAAGGTTTGAATAAAGCTATTGAAAGGCAAAATACCATGAAAGCAATTTCAGATATTAAGATGTAAAAAAAGAAACAGTTTTAAAATATTAGTTAAGGAGTTGTAAAGTTGACAAATCTTTACAATAAGGTCCTTGGATGATTTGTCTGATACTTACTTGGGCCTGAACGATATATCCTATTTACCCTATAATGTAAAAATGGGTTTGGTCCATATAGTATTAAAATGTTTTCCATTTTGATACTACAGGGTATTTTGAATTTTTATTTCAATAGTTCAAATCAGGCTAAGGTCTCTATATTAGCGGCAGATGAATTTAGATTTAAGGTCATGTGACCATAACCTTTGAACTCTGATATATTAGAGATAGAGGATTGGGAAATGTGACCAAAAGCCGGGAGTCGGAGAGCAAGGAAAGAAATATTGCTTCAAAATTTCTACAAATTGGTAACTATATATATTTTTTTAATATTTTCTTTATAAAAGAAGGTTAAACAATACTCGCAAACTTTTTAAAATTTCCATGGGGGATATCACGCATTCTCAATGAAAGGGTCCAAAATAGGGCGGGTTAGCACATACAGTGCAAGTGGACTGATTTAAAGAAACAATCTTAATTTTGTCTTTGGAATGAAAATTTAATGATCAAAGCCATGTTGTTCAAAAGGTGATTAGATTAATTAGTGATTAGGGCAAATTTAAGTTTTGGTATATTTCAAAACACAACCATTCACTCGTCCACCCTTGAAGACACATTTGAACTCTTCCATTTCAAAGGTTGGAATAGTTCATTATGAAATTTCAGGGGTGAATGATTTCATTGAGAAAAAAAATTGCATAGCAAATATTTTAGTAGAGATAAAAAAAACATGCAATGTTATGAGGTGTAATCTTGTTTATAGACCAAATTATTAGAGGTTGAAAAATGTCGTTAAACAGAGATCAAGTTACCGAACTTTTGAAAACCTGAGCACTGATATCAGGCTAACCATGTTTATATATAATTGGGATGAAATTTATCCCCATTTCTGACGAGATTTAAACAACTTCCATCTCACTTTGAGAAATATATTTAAAAGGTTTCATTTCCTAACTTTGTAAAGGATGGATTGTTGAGAGGGTCATATAGCACGACCAGTGTATATTTATGCATGACATGTTTTTGACTTGTAAAATGTGTAGCTCTTGTCACCTTTATCAGACAGATGACCAGTGAAGTATATGTACACAAAGGTTTAAAATATGTACAAGTTTGGGTAAATTACCATTGATACAGCTACACTTTAAGGACTCGCACAACTAAATCAGCCAATCAGCAAGCGTTTCATACCATTGTAATACCTACCTAAAATTGGTTCCGGTTTCATACAGTGCCTCTCGGTAATTTAAATAGGTAACTGTTGACATATTTTAAATTGAATGAAATCTGCAGATATTGAACTTTCGAAAAACGTATACGATAATTTTAGTAGGTTTTAATATGTGATGGCGGATTGATATGGGGTCAATCGTCAGGGGGGGTTCCCGTCCCACTTCACCGGTTTCGCTTGTAAACTTCTGATTGTCAAAAGCAGAGCAGCACTCTTATATATGCCACTAAACCCACCAAACAATGACTTTTGAAGCCTTTGTCAGGTATGTTTCTGAATCTAGACAGTTGTCACTAGTGTTGAACTTCACATATTAATGCTATTAGCTCTAAAGCTTAGTAATAACATATAGTAAATGTTTTAGCTGTGCGAGTCCTTTAAGCATACATGCACTTTTGAAGTTGGTCTGAAGCTGTTCAAATGTTTTGTTGTCTTGTATAGCTTGGTCCATCCTCGATATCCAGGGCTTACGCTCGCTTTAGCTCTCTACACCCCTGGAATATGTCATAGCAAAAATGAAGGCTCGGTGTGCGCCACCTTGTTGATGAGACGAGAAGACTAGTTTGGTCCTTTGATGTACATCAGAAGAATCTCGCGGTCACGTAACGGTAACAATTGACAGGCTTTGAAGTCGGGCCTCTCTCCTTTCTCTCTCCTTTAAAATTTGTAATCTTCAAAGGACAGGTATCGGCCTAGCGATTGGTCAGGGTTTTTTACCTGAGACCAATCAAACAGCTATCTTCGTGCCTTCAATTTTGCTATGACATATTCCTGGGGTGTAGAGAGCGAAAGTGAGCTTAACCCCTGGATATCGAGGATGAGCGCAGTCATGACCTTGCCCTCATAACCGTCAGTTTCCATGACAACTGCTGCCCTGTCCCTTCAGTTGATAATATTGTAATAGATTTGTTTCTGCGTCATTTTTGAAATGTGACTCGCTCTTCATATATTTACGAAACCCCCGTTTGTCCTGGGATCTCTGTTGACCATTCTCAGCATGACTCTGTTTCCTATCCCCTTGCTCTGTGGCTATAACAAAAACCAGGATTTGATCTAAACTGATGGCTTAGTCGATCAGACCCTCAGCTAGAAAAGTTTTATTGCTATTGGTGAGCACCTACTTTGAGATGTTAACTACCCACTTATTCAGTACAGTAATCAAAGCTGCCTCTGTGCTGGTGTTCTGTTGTGTTGTTTTCTCTATACGATGGTTTAATTTAATTAAGTGGCGTTGTTTGATCATATGGAATGCTTATTCACCAAGACAAGAAACTTTTATTTTTTGTCGTATATGTGTAACGTGAAACATTAGCTCTGAAGAGCTGTTCTTACGATACCTATCATGTGTTTGTTCATATCCCCTACAGTGTCACTCGGTAATCACTCGATCAGTCCTTGTATGCGTCAATTTGTTGTTTATGACACGAAATCTTTCCCTCACAAGATCTTCCTGCGTTTGCTGATGATGTTTCTAGCGTTCAAAGTATCTACTGGTCATGAAATATTCAGACTTGAATATGTTACCTGCAAGTTTCTACATTTCAGCGTAAGGTGTTTTCTCTGGTTCGTTAATTTATTTTCTAGGTTTTCTTGTTTACAAACATCTTGGATAACCTCTTGTCTGTACCTCGTTTAGACATTTAAAGAAATATTTTTTCAGGTTGGTATGTATGTATTGTATAGGGGAATGTATAATAGCACAACCAGATGACTGATGTTTCCATGACTTTTATGTCATAACTTGAGTTTTATGGCGTCAACTTTGCTTATATATTGTGGGGGAGATATGGGATATACTTTATTCTAAAAAGGCAGACTGTTAAATTCTGGGATTCAAGGTGGCCATTTTGGCCTCTGATTGGCTGAAATATAATAAACTTTGATGGTTAAGCTGGGCGTTTAATTGTAACAGGAAAGAGAATAGTGTGCTTCCACCAGGAATCAAATCTGCAATCCCAGAGTGAGGCTGCTTGTCAGACGAATTAAAGGGAAATTCCCTCTAGCACAAAGCTAGAAGGTGATGGTAATGGTATGTACAATTATAACCTGCCACACTAATCTCCCCTTTTTAAATGTGTTCGCCCTTGAACACCACAACCCAGGTTCTAACTCCCTGTCACCACAGGGAGGGCCACGGACACCATTTGTAATAGAAAAGAAAGTAGTGTGCTTCCACCGGGGATCGAACCCTCTGTCTCCAGGTTCCTAGTCGGACACCGGGGATCGAACCCTCTGTCTCCAGGTTCCTAGTCGGACGCTCTACCACTGAACTAAAGGAAAATTCCATCCATGTACAATTAAAATTTGCCAAATGTTTTTTTGTAAAGTTAAATCTAAATTTAATATTTCTTTCCAGAAAATGCAGTGGAGTGCTCCTCTAGGCTGGGTGAGCATGGTTGCCATGACAATGGTGTCATTGTCAATGGTGACGAGTTTGGACTTTGTGTATCACAGACAACCTGCTCTGGCAGCCTTCCTACAGAACTTAAGTGTAGACTACCCAGATATCACCCATCTCTACAGTATTGGCCGCAGTGTGGAAGGTTTGTTAAACTGACCATACTGGAAACCTGTGTATACTGACTATATAGGTATAAAGTCGTACCCGTCTTTAAAGAATACCTAATGGAGAAATAAAAAAAACAGTGGTTTTTATATACGCTTCTTTTTAATAGAAATTCTATTTCAGTTGATGGTTCAGACAAGTGAACTTTGTAGGTAGAGGCAGGCTTGATATAACCTATTTTTCTAATACTAATGCATATTTGGAGAAGAAAGTTCAATCAGAATCTCCCTTGATTCTGAGATATTTCAAATATACCAGGTATGTAATTTTCTGCTTATAATGAACATTTGTTCCCAAATACTAGCGGAAATACCCAATTGGCCCTTTTAGGGTACAGTTATACCTGTTAAGGGCCTTTGTGGCCCTGACAGTATTTTGGATTCTCTTTATAGGACCTTACACCAGAAATAAATGCATAAACTTGTAAATATAGAAAAATGGATGTTACCTTTGTATGAAAACTTAACAAACATTACTGTATTTGTATATATGGTAAAAAATACATTAATAATTAATTTTAAAATGTCCTGTTTCGGTTTCACTGGACATAAGATGATGACGTTTGAGAGTTGACGATACTCATCTCGTATTTCTGATTGAGAATTTCCTGGTTTCCTATTTAAGCATCATATTTTGCCAATTTTCAACAAAATTGACCAGAAGATAAGATTTTTTTTTCCTTTGATGTTTTTTTTTGTGAAAACCTAGCCAATTATACTGTATAACATGAAGTTAACATTTGTGGTTTTTGTTGTTGCTATTGAACCACGAACATAAATTCAACGAATTTGAACGATATACGTGTCTACTGTTTGTCCATGAAAGTTTGTGCCATGGAACGATCTAAATGGCTTCAAACCACGAAGAAAAGTGCCCACGAACATTTTGTGTTACACAGTACTGAAAACAGTTTAGAATCAGTTGGTTTTGATATATTTTCTCTCCGACTTGCCGTCCATATTTGAGAAAGTGTCTGTAAATCAAAAAAATCGATAAAAATCTAAGCCAAAGTGACACAGTGTTCTTTATATTTGTACATGAAATTATACAATTGCAACTGGAATTTCTAAAAAATATCTTTCTTGTACAATTTTTGTTTCTGCTATTCTTACTACAGGTCGTGACCTCTGGGTGTTAGCCATTGGGAAGTCTCCTAAAAGTCATGTGACCCTGCGACCACATGTCAAGTATGTTGGTAACATGCACGGCAATGAGGTAAGATTTATGCATGATCACAAACATTTTAACGACCCAGATTTGAACTCCCATTGACATGCAAATCATTGTTATTATTATTATGTCCCCTCACTTCGGATGGTGACACATAATTATGTCCAACATCTGTATTTTATCGGCCCTTTTATTGATTTTATGAGAAATCCTGCTGGTCTGATAAAAAAATATGAGTTGATGAAAAAGAAAAATGTCATTACTAGTTCATTTCCAGCATAGCCTGAGGGGTGTATACATTTTGTTATTCCAATCAGGATATTGAGGTCACAAAACGCCATGATCAAAAGATTATTTTCAGCAAAACAGGGTACAGTTATTATCTTTTTTAAGTCATAGATTAATTTCTACTTGGCAATGTGGGCATTCATGTCTTACCAACAATTTCTAAATATCTTGATTGAACCATTTGGTGAATAAGCAGCATTATTCAATTGTTTTATCTTTTCAAAAAGTTCAGCTTCGACAAGATGGATTTTTTTAAATTTTTTTTTACAAACTTTTTATTGTCCTGTGATTTTCATTTTTGAATGATCTTCATTATTGATTCACCTTAAACGTGTTGAGCTTCTGTTGTCAGCCGATAGGCCGGGAGATGCTGTTGCATCTTATCGAGGAGTTTGTGACGAATTACGCGACAAACAGCACACTGCGGAACTTCTTGGACAACACCCTGGTACACATTCTCCCCACCATGAACCCCGATGGATTTGAGGCGGCATACGAGGGAAACTGCACAGGAAATATCGGCAGGTTAGTAGAGCTGTTGTTGGCCTGGCTCGAAACCAATCACCAAACTTTACTGTTTATTCAGAAATTATATTACTTGTGTGACATGCAAGCGTCCATTATTGATTTATGTTTTAGGGATTATTAAGTTTTAAATCATTAACTATTTATTATCTAGATAGGACAGGGTTAGCTATGACTGTGCTATTCTGTACGTGTGTACTTATCTTGCACAGACTCTGTATTGTTTTATAATTGTTGTAACTTTGTTGTAAATAGTGTACATTTTATCATACTTGACCATATGTAAGACGAGTCTTTGACTCAATATGTCATCAAGTTGAAATAAAGACTTTTATTATTATTATTATTATTGAATCATCACTATAGTTTTGTTACAATTGTATACTGTTAATTTTTAAGATTTGCATGGTAAAAATTTCTCAACCAAAAAAGTAACCCGCAAAAACTTTCGAAAAATTATCCAACTTTACTTTAGCACTTTCTCCTATGGCGAACGGACCTGGAATCTGCATAAATTAGGGACTGTGGAAAAAAAACACCTTTACTTATTTTTTGTATAAATATTCTCAGAGACTTCATACTTTGTGGATATATATATCCCATTAATAATAACTGCCAATATGAGTATAGTCTCCCTTCATTTGTGAATTTATTAGTATTTGCTAATAAACATATTGGCAAATTACATAATAAGTAATAAGACATCAAAATAAAATAATTTGGGTGTAAATATCTATTTTACTTGCTTCGCTCTACGTCAACCTTAAAACTTGCACCAATGTTATTATCATGATTTACCTTCCTATAAAAACACGGAGTAGAACATTAGCTGTCGATCCTTCCTCATTAGGAGGGAGACTCCCTCACATAGCTGTCAACCCTCCCTCATTAGGAGGGAGACTCCCTCACATAGCTGTCAACGTTCCCTCATTAGGAGGGAGACTCCCTCACATAGCTGTCAACCCTCCCTCATTAGGAGGGAGACTCCCTCATTGTGACCAAAATGTACCAGTCTCCCTCAAAACTCCCTTGTTCTAGTCTAAACTCGCACAAACTCAAAATCTACATCCTGTGGTCAAATGATCTCCTAGATACTGCAGGGTGTGTAATGATCATAACAGGTGTGTCTGAATCAAATGCTTTTTATACGACCGTCAAATTTGACGGTAGTATTATGGTATGGCGTTGTCCGTCCGTCCGGCGTATACTTTGTTTGTCCGTCAATCTCCTCCTACATTTTTTGACCGATCTATTTGAAACTTGGTATACATTATAATCATGATATGAAGTTGTGTCTCCCTTAAAAGAATTTTGATTCCATAATTTTGCCAAAAGTTATTGCCCTTTGTTCATTTCAGTACTTGATTTTTGTACAGAGATCTCCTACATTTTTCAACTGATCTCTTTGAAATTGGTATACATTATAATCATGATATAAAGTTGTGTTTCCCTTTAAAGAATTTTGATTCTTGTTTGAGTTATTTTAGACATTAAAAGGGAAAGATAAATTGAGTAAAGCAGCTTCAGTCGCGTTTCACGCACTTTCTCCCTCATTGGAAATGTGGAATGAGGGAGAGAGATCTCATTCGAGGTTTCAGAGGTTGACATATGGTAGAGTAATTCTCTTCTGTGTAATTCCCCTTCATTCAACATACTGTATATTACAGAGCAAACGGAAATGGCTATGACCTGAATCGTAATTTTCCGGACAAATTTGAGGTTAATGACCTTGAACAGCAGCCGGAAACAAAAGCCATCATCAGTTGGTTGTCACAATACCCGTTTATTCTGTCGGCAAATCTACACGGAGGCGCAATGGTGGTCAACTACCCTTACGATAATTATCCTGGAGGTAAGATCTATAATACAAAAATCTTCACAGAGGACTACAGGTATATATGGTTTGGGCCTTTTTGGCCCCCAAACAATCTAAAATTCAAAACCTTTTAATGAACTTTCAGACGACTGTTTCTTTAAAAAAAAATTCTAATTATTGTTGCCATGGTAACAAGTGCATGAATTAGAAAAATTTGAATATTCAGTGATTATATTTTGCATAATTTTTCTCCTGGAAACTATAGAGTGCATGATGCTTGAACAAACTTGATATCAAAGGATGATGCATAGGCACCTGTAACACATCTTTAGGAGAAATATAACGTTTGTTCAAGAGTGTGCCCTGTGGTAGCTAAGAGAAAAAGTAGGCGAAAACCTGTCAAAATTGACAGAATATTCAAATCTGATTAATTTTTGCAAATATAAACTGGTTTCCATGGCAGCGGTTATTGAAAACACAAATAAATGTTTGCATAATCGTATCCATATTAAAGAAACAGTCGTATGAAAGATCTATTGAAGATTTTTAATTCCGATGGATTTGGGGGCCAAAAAGGCCCAAATTATATAAAGCCCTTTACCCCTAGTTGTTGGTTTACCTATTAAAGCTGCTAGATCTATGGTCTCCAGCAATCTCAAAGCGTTCTATTAAAAGAAAAAACATATACAGATCCTATTCATAAAACTAATTATTTATTTGTCACCTGTTTGGCCCTTATTTGACCTTGACCTTTAAATGTTTCTTCACCAATTAATCTTCCAGCTTCTATGACTGGGCAGACAAAGATTGTGCCTTGCCCAGATGATGATATTTTCCAGCACATTTCCAAGATATATAGCTTTTCCCATCATCGGATGTCTGAGGGGAACTTCTGCGGAGAGACATTCACTGATGGGATCACTAACGGAGCCATGTGGTATCCCATGAGAGGTGAATTATTGTATATATTGCATGGTCCAGGTACAGCTTATTGTCAATTTAGATTGGATTTTGAAACATGTCAAAATGCTATGAGGCAAAGCTCCATACTTCATGAAGCCATTAAAACTAAACATGTGACAAGAAAATTGATGGTTCTTTAAATGAATGATCAAAGACTGATTTTTTTTTAATGTTTAATGTAAATGGATCGTTGATATAAAAAAATATGGTGATTTTCATAGTCAGAAAATATTAAAATAAAGGTTTACTGCTTTTAAAGAAAAATAAAGTTATAATGTATTGTTAAAAGGTTTTTAAGGATAAACATTTTAATGTGTTTTAAAGGGCAACAGGCGGCATGCAGGAGATATTTTAATGAGTTTTAATGGGTTGCAGGAAATAGTTTAATGAGTTTTAGTGGGTTACATGAGGAATGCAGGAAATAGTTTAATGAGTTTTAATGGGTTACATGAGGAATGCAGGAAATAGTTTAATGAGTTTTAGTGGGTTACAGGAGGAATGCAGGACTACAACTATATAAAAGGAGGTTGTTTGGAGGTAACCATTGAACAGGACTGCTGTAAATATCCTCCACACGCACAGCTGTCAAGTTTCTGGGAGGATAATAAGGACGCCCTTATCAACTACCTAATGCTTGCAAATACCAAGGGTATGTTCAGGAAGGTTAACAGTGTTTTTCTACCTAAAATTCACAACAGCCTGTTTCTTTATGAATTGAGAACATATAGCATTATTTTTATTTATTGCAATTGGAAATATATTCATTTTTTTGGTCATTTTGGGAAAATAAGGCACTTTTAAGCTAGGGGGAAACAGCCTGTATTCGGCTGTAAAACTGAGCAAAAATAATTGCTTGTTTCAGAGTATTGCCGTCATGGACGTATCAGTTTCAGGCACTCTGCAATACAATTTCAAAGTTGATTGATTGTGTGATGTCAACTAAAATTTCACTATGATTTAAAAACACTACTAAATGGTTATGGTAAAAACTGTTAGAATGACTACAAGCTTGTTGGGTTTTATATTTTCGGTTTATAAAGCCACAAAGAGCAATAAATAAAACTGCCAAGGAAAAACAGCAAATAATAGATAAAACAGGTGAAGTAAACAGTGTATTGTATGGCCTCTTAGTCGGGTTAGTCACGTCACGATATTTGTGCAGGTGTACGCGGATTGGTGAAAAAGGCAGATGGGACAGCGGTGGAGGGGGCGGAGCTTAGCATCGAGGGACGAGATGACATCAAATTTAAGACCACAGCACAGGGTGAATACTGGCGAATTCTACTGCCTGGAAGCTACAAAATTATGGTTAGTGATCTCCCCTTGGTTGTATTGCCCACAAACTACAATATTATCTTGAGTGATTTCCCCTTGGTTTCTATTGCCCACAAACTACAATATTATCTTGAGTGATCTCCCCTTTGTTTCTATTACCCACTAACTACAATATCATCTTGAGTGATCTCCCCTTGGTTTCTATTGCCCACAAACTACAATATCATCTTCAGTGATCTCCCCTTGGTTTCTATTGCCCACAAACTAAAATATTATCTTGAGTGTTCTCCCCTTATTTTCTATTGCCCACAAACTACAACATTATCTTGAGTGATCTCCCCTTTGTTTCTATTGCCCACAAACTACAATATTATGATGAGTGATCTCCCCTTATTTTCTATTGCCCACAAACTACAAAATTATCTTGAGTGATCTCCCCTTGGTTTCTGTCGCCAAATAAGTATGACATTATGTTGAGTGATCTTCCCTTGGTTTCTATTGCCAATTAACTATAACATTATGTTGAGTGATCTTCCCTTGGTTTCTTTTGCCAATTAACTATAACATTATGTTGAGTGATCATCTCTCGGTTTTCTATTACCATTTAACTATACCATTATGTTGAGTGATCTCCCCTTGGTTTCTATTGTCAATTAACTATAACAATATGTTGAGTGATCTCCCCTTGGTTTCTTTTGCCAATTAACTATAACATTATGTTGAGTGATCATCCCTCGGTTTTCTATTGCCAATTAACTGTAACATTATGTTGAGTGATCTCCACTTGGTTTTTTATTGCCCACCAACCACAATATAATGTAAGGCACAGAGTAATATTAGATGAAATCTAGCTTCGAAGGATGAACATCTTTCATATTGGGTTTAGAAAAATATTTGAAAATCATTTCTACCGACTTATGATCAAGTTTCTAGGTGATCAAGACATGAGCCTTAGAAGCTTTTTTTGTTGATTGTATTTACAAGTGAATTTCTAAATAAAAAAGGACCTACTAAAATTATGCATTATTGTTGGATTTAAATGTTTTTTGAAGGTTTCTGTAGCTATTTAAATTGTGAAGGTTTCCATCTTTTGACTTTTCAGGTAAAAACAACTGATTTAGGGCAGACAAACAGATCATTTACGGTAAATGCCAACACTCCCACAAGACTGGACATAGTCCTTAGCGACACATCAGGGCAGCTCAACTCAGGACAAATTCTACACAGTTGTCTTTTCTTGTTGTCAAGTGCACTTGTTGCCGTGGTGATGCTGTGATGAAAATATCATCCAATAGGATTCCTTTTTTGTAATTATATACCAGCATATCTGTGATTTACTGTTTTAGTCAGGGAATTCCGCAATTGAGAAATGGGAAAACAAGTTTAAATGGGAAATTAACAATATTGCATTATAAATCAACATGGTTTTTTTATGGGGAATTTAATATGATTTTAATGGGGATTTTTAATGGAAATCAATCACGGCGATGAAATAAGAAATTAACAAGAATTTAAGTGGGAGGGAAATCATGAGATGAAATGGGAAATTTACAGGATTCTTATAATGGAAAATTAACAGTATTAATTCATCATAATATTTAGCTCATTTTAATTTATGAATGATTCATCAACAATTTATGCTGTAAGTTGAACTTGTATGCTTGATTATAGTTTTTAAATGAAATCATGTGAAAATTATTATTGATTTAAAATCAAACACATTCTTATTATTTTTACTGAACTATGCTTTCATTTGTGTCTAATGCCCCCGTCACACATTCACGGACTGGATCGCCGGATCCACTACGGATTGAAACTCATGGATGACCCTGGAATGGTTTATGTCCGTGGTGTGCGACGGATGCACCATGGTATGACTACGGATAGGGGCTAGTTGACAACAGGGGGTGATATGGATTGCTATGGTTCGGTACAGTTTAGTACGTAAAAACACGTGTCACGGTGTATGCACTGCGGATTAACAACGGTTCGCTACGATTTTAGTACGGGTTAGCACGAATTAGAACAGTCTGGCACAGATAAGTACGAACTCGCACGGAGAGCTACGGACGTGCCACAGTAAGCAATCGGTATACAAACTCCCGCTCTCGCGCGTTCATTCCACAACTTCAGTAGAATTTTAGGACGGGTTAGTACAAGTACGTATAGTTCACGGTAACTAACCGTACCGATCCTTGGCGACTTGAGGCCGGGCATGTACTACAAATAATTACGGTTTATTACGGACTACAATGGATTACTACGTTCTACTACGGATCAGTAAGAATGTACTTCGGTTGTCTGAGCCGTTGTGAATATTTGAACATGCTCAAAAATTGTCACGGACATACAAGTAATACATTCTACGATTGACCCAGGATACAATACTGACAGCTACGGACCACTACAGATTGCCACGGATGATGTCGGATCGTATCTGTAGCTAATCCGGCATCCTATCTGTGTGTGTGTGACCGGGGCATTAATGAAGTTTGAAAATTTGTGAATAAGATTATGTATTAATAATCAGATTTTTATGTTAGGTTTCTGTGCTGGTCTACATGTTTTTGTGTAAGTAAACAAATCTATAGGTTTAAGTTAAACTTGGACGTTATGAAGCTGTCATAATTAAACAGGTCCTCCAGTCTCTGTATGCATGTCTAATGTATGATTACTTTACCTGGATGTGTCAGACCAGAGACAAATATCCAACCTGTATCCAACAGCTTTATTAGTCTAAACCTTTTGTCATATTAATCCTAATAACTGTCTCCTAAAATTCAGATTGTTTCCCTTGTCAATATGTGAGGCACCTGTCTGTACAGCATCACATGTCCCAGGAAATTTTGGCATCATAAATGGGTTCGGCGACAAATTGAGGGAAACGTATCATGGAATTCTTATAAAGAAGATGGGACTTTGAAATATGAAGGCAGTAAGGGAGGTGGAAAATAAAGGGCGTTATATCAAGGTTTTACTATGCATTGACAGTATATTAAAGGAGATGGCAAATGTAATGAAGGACGTTATATCAAGGTTTTACTGTATGTTGACGGTATATTAAGGTAGGTGACAGATGGCATTATATTGAGGTTATAGTTTGTTATGTTGGCAGTATATTAAGCGAAATAGCAAATGTAACAAAAGGCAGTATATCGAGGTTTTACTGTATGTTGGCAGTATGGGAGGTGACAGATGGCATTATAGTGAGGTTTTACTGTATGTTGGCAGCATCGGATGTGACAGATGGCATTATATTGATGTGATAGTTTGTTATGTTGGCAGTATATTAAGCGAAATAGCAAATGTAACAAAAGGCAGTATATCGAGGTTTTACCGTATGTTGGCAGTATGGGAGGTGGCAGATGGCATTATAGCGGGGTTTTACTGTATGTTGGTAGCGTGGGAGGTGACATATGGCATTATATTGAGGTTTTACTGTATGTTGGCCGTATGGGATGTGACAGATGGCATTATAGCGGGGTTTTACTGTATGTTGGTAGCGTGGGAGGTGACATATGGCATTATATTGAGGTTTTACTGTATGTTGGCCGTATGGGATGTGACAGATGGCATTATAGCGAAGTTTTACTGTATGTTGGCAGTATCGGACGTGACAGATGGCATTATAGTGAGGTTTTACTGTATGTTGGCAGTATGGGAGGTGGCAGATGGCATTATAGCGGGGTTTTACTGTATGTTGGCAGTATGGGATGTGTGACAGATGGCATTATATTGAGGTTTTACTGTATGTTGGCCGTATGGGATGTGACAGATGGCATTATAGCGAAGTTTTACTGTATGTTGGCAGTATCGGATGTGACAGATGGCATTATATTGAGGTCTTACTGTATGTTGGCAGTATGGGACATGACAGATGGCATTATATCGAGGTTTTACTGTATGTTGGCAGTATGGGACGTGACAGATGGCATTATAGCGAGGTTTTACTGTATGTTGGCAGTATCGGATGTGACATTGGCATTATATCGAGGTTTTACTGTATGTTGGCAGTATGGGACGTGACAGATGGCATTATAGCGAGGTTTTACTGTATGTTGGCAGTATGGGACATGACAGATGGCATTTTATCGAGGTTTTACTGTATGTTGGCAGTATGGGACATGACAGATGGCATTTTATCGAGGTTTTACTGTATGTTGGCAGTATGGGACATGACAGATGGCATTATATCGCGATTTAATGACTCAAAAGAAGATTAAAAAGAGCAGAAAGCTGAAAAAAAAATAGAAAAATGTTTTAAAAAAAACCTGATTAAATCAGGAAACACGATTTGAATAACAATGCAGTATGTGTGTGCTGATGGATGTTTATACAGACAGATAAACGTTGATGTTATTGTCCATGGTGTGTAGTCCCCGTGAATTTGAAAGAATGAAACGGGTTTCTTTGTAAGTTGATCAATTTCATTGTGTACAGTTTCCATCAGCCTTCAGACAATCAGATTCTTTAATAAAACATGAAATATTTCATTGTATGGTGCTTATTTTAAATAAAATGAAACTCATATGTTCTAGGATCAAAGAATTATAATTGTGGTGTTTTCATTTGTAATAGAATTACAATATCTCAATTACACTATGGTGTAGTATAGTTTTCAAACCCATTCACCCCTAAAGTCACATTTGAACCTTACCAAATCAAAGACTAGGCAAGCCCAGTTTGAAATGTAGGGGTGATTGAGTTAAATCCCTATGAATCATTTATGCATATTTCTCAGTTAGTGTGAATTTCAATAGATTTGAGTTTCTTAAGATTACAGCACATTTTAATTGCTATGAGTTACAGGATAATGTAAACATGACTATTTTGACCGCTGAAATTCCGGCATGTGATCGTCGAATGTTAAATTATTACCACATTCATGAATTTGAAAACTTACATTAGAAAACAATACTCAAAGGTTCGTTAGTGCAATCGTAATTAAGCTCAATTTCGAAAGTGTGAAAAAAACACAACATTAATGTTAACGCTTAACCCTTTCACCACTGTAGACCATAATGGACTCATCCAGATCAATGCATGGTAGAGTCTACTAAAGTTACATAGGGGTGAAAGGGTTAAACTCCAATTCAGGTTGCATTTCATTAAAGTAAGGTTACAATAAGTTACAGCTGATTTGAAAGTTAAACAAACTAGGATGAGTAAAATGCTGCAAATATAAATTTAGAAGCTGATGATACAAAAGTTTGCGATGTAAGTTTTTATTTCAAATTTTTTGGAAATTATCTGCATTTACTCTTTAAATCCTTTTTCTTTATAACTAAAATGCTGTAAAGTAGGAAATTTTCCCCGCATTTTGAACTTTTGCCTTTTTATCATTTCATTGAGTATAAGTACACACAATACGATATATAGTATTTACATGTGAAGGGCGAAACCAACACTAGGCAAACATGAATAATATCGGCAAAAAGGCGAATACTTGACTGGGCGCAAGTTTCACTGTATACCATAAATATGAATGACTACAAGTTACAGCCGATTTGAGTAAAAGTCGAATTCCGTCTTTGCGTATTGCAGAGTTATCTTCTCTTTGGAGCAGGTATTGATTGTTACGTCATTGGTTTGTGTGAGAAAATTGAAGACCACCAGAAGATTTGGATACCAACGCTGGATCTCGTTTGTTTAGTATTGTTTACAAAATGATAAACGTAAACTAGTTTAAAAAGTCAAAATCTCTTTGAAAGCTTTCGGCTCGTCCTTCCTACGCCTCAGAAGCATCTTTCAATTCTCCATATGCAAAAAAAAATCATTGGTGATTTAAAAAGAGTAGACATTGTATTACCTGGTAAGTTTCAATAAAGGAAACCTGTCCCTATGCAGTTTTTTCCTTTACACAGTAACCTCCCCTTAACTTCCGTTTAGATATGACTGTAACACATGTACAGTCTGGCCAGGACACTTACGTTGACTGTGAGGCAGCTCTGTCAGTTAGAGCAATATATCAATCTGAAGTTCAGGGTTTGAATCTCGGTCTACCCCAGATAAATAATCACACTCAGAACACTGTTAATTATATTTTGTTGATTTCAACTCTATTATTTTTTCATAAAAGTCCTGCAAGGTATGGTTTTCTTTTCAGAAATGATTTATCAACACTTTAGTCTGCTTAGGCCAGAAAAAAATGTTTCCATTACTTGGTTACAGCACGGACTTAGATAGCAATCGGATTCTAATTCCGTGGTTACATTTTTTGGCAATGGTACCAGAATCCTTAAGATAGCAGAAGTTAAGTTTTAAAAGAGCACCTTAGTTATCAAAGATGGCCTGTCCAGTAAAACATTTTTCCCGCCTCAGGAATCCAGGTTTTGTTTAGGGGCACCAACCATACAGATTGGTTAGTGTTTTACGTCCTATAAACAGCTATGGTCATTTAAGGACGTGCCAGGTTTTGGTGGTGGAGGAAAGTCGGAATTCCCGGAGAAAAACCACCGACCTATGGCCAGTACCTGTGGCTCCGACCATATAGAATCTAAAGTTATAATTTGTACAGCATAAATATAGACAGGAAAACCCAACCATAGATAGAAGTGAATAATTTCTAAGTTTTGGAATTTCTTAGACATTTTTGCAGGAAAGGTAATCAAACTACTTCAAGTTCCATAATGAACAAAATAAAAGAACAACTTCGAAAATGTTAGATGATTTTTTTTATTTCATACAAGCTACTAGTAGTATATATATGTATACAATGTCACGATGAAACGCAAATCACACCACGTCTAATCTAGATATAAATTTACCGCATATATAGATATCGGGTACATGTATCGCTATATCAACAGTAATCGTAATCTATATTCAAGTCTTGTGACATAGCCAATGAAAACAGGCATAGAAATTTTCTCTGAAGACTTGAAAACTAAATGTTAACAACATATATCATAACTATTTCTATTTGTAAAAAAAAATCAAAACTGTATATCTAATCAAAATTAAAATTTCACATCTGACAAAACTGGTGAGGCATGACTTTTGCAGTTTGTCATTTTTTTTACTGTTGTGTATTAAATTTCATCAAAATTTGTAAATCAGTCCCGAAGAACACAAAAAAGGGTGTTGAAAAGACATCTCAATATTAAAAGGTTTATTCAATAGAACCAGTGGTGAATTCCTGTACTGTTACTTTCCCCTTTACTCAAGGGTAATAGTGACCGGTGGATTACCCAATACCATCTCCCTAGCAGCAAATATCATAGAGTAACTTTACCTTCGGTAAAGACAATGATTTGTGATGTTTCAAACTGTAGCTTGTGATGGTTTAACTGACAATACAAAATCTTCGTTTTTAATCAAGATAATTATCTAGGAAACATTCCAAAACATCTTCCTTATGAAAAAAAAGCAGTATTTGATAGTCTACTTCCTGTTTACACGGGGATGTCTCAACAGGAAATATGTCTATGAAATTCTTAAATTCCTGTTAGAAAGGAGTCTGGTCACATTGGTGTCTCCCCATTTCAATCACAAGCAACAAAACTGACACGGAACAGTCTTCAGACCTCGGGAAACCTTCAGAGGTATCATGTTTCAGATTGTTAACCCTTTCACCACTGTAGACCATAATGGACTCATCCAGATCAATGCATGGTAGAGTCTACTAAAGTTACATAGGGGTGAAAGGGTTAAGTCAAGTTCACTTAGTGGATCTGGATGTGCAGCTTAAAACCATTGTATTAAGTATGAAAACATGTTGGAATCAACTGAATATGTTTTGCTGTTTGTTTAGAAACTAGGATGTAGACTACTGGATAATCAATCAATAGCATACAAATTAACCACTAACACAAAAACAGGACCTTTTTCATGATTTCATTTTTCAGTCAATAATTCTTTCTCTAGCTAAAAAGAAACATATTACATTTTCTGAATAGACACTAAATAGTGCTTTGCTTAGTATGCAACAGAACTTGATGCTTGTTTTCTAAAAAGTTATACGGTAGCTGTTCCCACATTTATTTGCAGACCTAAAGCCTAAAGGGATGTACAATTCCATTTCCCCCCCGACATCCTGGACCAATGGAATTGGTCAAGACTAGTGGAAATTTTCAATATTTACTAAGAAAATAATATAGTAAAATTATGGAAAATTTGCCTGCAGGGGTAGTACTCTAAAATTTGCAATAGTACACATCTGCCCAGGATTGCCACCTTTGGACCAGAGCAATAACGACAGACCAAAGTTCCAGCCTATAGCCA